CGCGTACGTTTATGGTTATGGTATGATTAGATGTCCAGTGAACTGTACTTGCATGCCTGTGACACCTTTTGGTCCATTTGAGGAAGAATTATTACAATATTTTGCCATGGGAATGAGAGCATGACCGTTTGCCCCTAAGAGTTTGCAATATTGATGAATGATCCATGCCAAGGTCACTTAAATGCTTTTAGGGAGATCAATATATTCAATCAAAGATGCCGGTTGCCATGATTTATTTGTGTTGAAGGTGCCGATTTCGAATTGGTTGGCTTTAAAAATGCAGATTTGGCTATTGCATTTTCCATGGGGTCAGCATTGCCTATACAACCACTATTCACTCTCATCCACCGAAGAAAGGTATCTGGCATTTAATCTCGCAATTGCAGGATGTTAATAGTTGGTAAGATTGCTTTGAGACCTGAAAGTTGAAATCCTAATTCAGTAAGACTATATTGCATTAGCCTTAGCGCTCATAAGCACCTCCCATATACTATGCATGAGACGTCTATGGAAGAAATTGTTATTCCTGGTCACTTATGGTACAAAAGAATTTTTATGGAACCAATAGTCCATCAATTTGTGTTTGATGCTATGATGATGTTTTCAAACTGTGGTACATGTCTTATAATATGTATCAAGGTGTAGTGGCATTGCTAAAGCTAGGATTGATGCTATAATGTAACATTATTACGTCTATACTTTGTTACCCATTTGACCCGACTTGATTTGATGCTGAAACATGCCGCATATATACATCAAGTAGAATTAGCATGCATTGAAAGAGCTGAAATATCAATTTATGATGTTTCTTGCTAGACACTTTTGAATTCTTAATGCCCCTGTAAGTCTAATGCTGTGGCCTTATAGATACCCACTTTTCATCTTGACTCTTGACTCGTCGATTTTTTAAAGATACTTAGTCTATGCTGTAATAAATTTGGGACTTCTTGACTGGGGCATTACTGAGATACATGGATGGAAGCTGCCAAAGGGGTTGAAGTATATATCTGGCATGAATTTTACTTTCCGTATGTCACATTTCTTTTCTTCTTGGTTGATAAGGGAGAGAATAGCCAGATAAATTTCTTAGAGCTTTGAACTTAGAAAGACCCAAGAGTATACTTTTTGGTGACTTTCATATAATGAGTTGTTTGATGCCCTACTACTTGCCTCTTATATTTGCAGCCCTTTTTATTTGGAGTAGTTTGTTTCTATTTAGAGGAACAGTTTGTAGTCTCAGGCATAAATTTTCTGTTATGGTTGTTGATAGTAATTTGACATTGTATTTTTTGCTAAAGTAACCCTTGTTCCCTATATCCGTTCATCTCATTCAGTCAAGACGATGCTCAGGAGCCCCTCAAATTTTAAGAACAGGAGATGTGGCTAGAGCAGCAACTTCTCCATTCATTTTACTATTTGAATGTGGAACTATTGTTTCTATATATTGATTGTTTCGTTTTGTGATTTCCTTTGAATAGACTGTGAGGCCATCACCTCTCTCCAGTGGTTTTAACCATCAGGGTTATCGGCCCCATGGACCAGGTGGTCCTCAATGGGGTCCACGAGGGCCTCATCTACCCCAGCAATCTACCTATGATTATCCGCAACGAGGACCATATCCATCCCATAATCCTCATTACCCTCCTGCATATGGAAGTTATCCTCAACATATGGGTCCAAGAAGTGGCTTTGGATCTGGTTGGGAGCAAAGGCCACCTCCTAGCATGCAGGGGATGCCTCCGCATGGTGCTGGTTATGATTACTACAGTGGACAAGGACCTGATGCCCCAGTATCTGCCCAACATTCAGCTCCTGTTCCTTCTCATGTTCCTGGCCCTTCTCCTAACCCTACAATGGCCCCACCCCCGTCTCAAGCAAATTACAATTATGGACAGCCACATGGTCCAGATTATGGGCATCCAGCACCTTATTCCCAGACTGCACCTCCTCAGCATAGCTATGGGCATGGGTACGAAGAACCAAAATATGATAATCATGCTCCAACACAGCATCCCTATGGAGGGCATGGGACTTCTCAGCCATATCCACAAACTGGAGCTCAGCCAGGTTATGGTCCACAGCAGCATTATGGCAAGCCACAATCGTATGGCATGGCATCACAGGGGCCAGCTCCCCAGTCTTATGGCCCTCCTAGGGCTGGTCAACCAGGAGACGCAACTTATCAGGGTGCTGCACCAGCTCAATCATATGGTCCGAATGTTCCAGCCCAACAGCCATATCCGTATGCATCTAGTGTGCCTGCACAGCAGACCTATCCTACATATGGTTCTGCCCCAACTGATGGGTATAATCAACCACCACCTGTCTCTGGCTCAGGATATCCACAGCAAGGAGGACAACCGGTTAGTTATGGCCAGCCTGGTGCGCAGCAGGCACCCGGCTATGCACAAGTGGCTCCTGCTGCAGGGTACACACAATACGCATCTACTCAACAAGGTTACACTGAGCAGTCTGCGCCAAACGCAGCAGGTTATGGGTACCAGGGGTCTCAAGACCCCGGATATGGAGGTGTCTCTGCATCAACCTATGGTGCCCCAGCAGCTGCGCAGCCAGGTTATGCCCAACCAACAACCCAACAAAGTTACGATCAGTCAGTCCCCCAGTCTGCTGGTTATGGAGCTGCGCCAACTGCTTCAGCTGGTTATGGGAAAACAGTTTCACCTCAGCCTGGTTATCCTCAGTATGACTCGAGTCAAATGTATGCTGCTGCACCGCGCTGAATATACTAATCTAGTTTTTTTTTCTTCAGAGAGCTTCATGTTGTGATTGATGCCAGGTTCGTTTTCCTAGCAGTAGTTGTTAGGCCTAATCTGACTCGGTCGAACTTTGCATGCATGTACTGTTTCTATTGATGTAATGCAGCGCTAATGCTTTATTAAATTGTGAACCCTGACCATGAATGATACAATTTATGAATTGATGATATATTTATATATATATAAGGGTCGCGTGGTATCATCCTGTATAAGATTCTTATTATCCTGCAATGCACATGACCAATCAGATAACAAATTATAAGAAGTAAATTGGAGGCAATTGAAAACCTTAGTATCAGAGGGGAACTCTGAAAGTTACGGGAACTAAAAAAGATTAGTTAAGCAGGCGCGGTACCCGTGTTCGAATACCTTTACATATAAATAAAAAAAAGGTATTTTGGCCAGATCCGTACTCATTTTTCCCATAATTCTGAGTGACAGACTGATTAAAGGTGGTTAACGTTTGTGCAGCAGGATCGAGTTGGTCAGTGGACACAATAAATAAAAAGTGGTGATTTTCCCACTCCTTTTTCTCCTATTTTATCCACTTACACTCCTTTTTTATAACTCAAAAAGGAGTGTAAGTGGATAAAATAAGAGTGGAGAAATCATTACCCTAAATAAATAATCAGACTGAATCATATGATATATGATATTACATCGCGTCTAAATAAAAATAAGAAATTAAATAGGAGATCATGTGTGGGGGAGGGGTGGTGCAGAAGAAAAACGTGTGAAATGGGAATAATTTTATTTTGCCATACCCATCAATAATGATATATTAAGTGAAAAAGTTATCAATTATGACATATTGTTATTGGCCGAAGTAACAAAATAATGTTATCCCTGTTATACACAAGTGTTTCCCGGTGTGGTGGGATAAAAAGGTAGAGAAGGGTATAGTGCAAGTGTTATGTATTTATCCATTCGAGGTGTGTGGGTGTGTCTAAAATGGAACAGCAACAGGGTTTCAGCTTTCTCTGTGTGCCCATTTGTATAATTGTATGGAAACATATCTTGTGGGATACGCAACAGAACTGCCCTGACATACATTTCGAACACCTCGCATCTTCAACTCATTTATTATCTCACTCCATGTCGTCACTTCCCCCATCAAAAACTCACTCACAGTCCTTTCCTACAAAATTAATAATACAGCAGATTAATTTGGCATTCTCTATTTACTATCTTGTGAGATACTTTTATTTTATTTTTTCTTTTACACATACCTTCACCCCAAAATAGGGATATTCCTTCATATATCAGTTATTTTAGTAATATTTCTGCCTATTTCATTTAGTGTTCATTTGGCATAACTTATTTGAGGTGATAAGTAATTTTTAAAAAAAATTGGGAAGCCCTGTTCGTTTGGTAAACTATGAAAAAAATCACTTATTGTTAAAAATTGTTGTGAGAGAAAGCAATAAGGGAAAGCAGCTAATGAGGTGCTTTCATTTTCTAATCATGCCGGAATCAATTTTAAAGAGGCGCTGAGTTCAATGAAATTTATAAACTTCCGAAAATACCCCGATCTATTTCACGCAATCTCTTCTCTTCATGTGTTTTCTTCTTTGCATCCATCTATTTTACAAAGTTCTCCTTCTCTTGAATATCTTTTATTCTTCCTATTATTTTTTCTTGTTGAATCAATTGAAGCACACTCCTAAGAAACCACAAAGACTCAGGTAAGAGGCATATTATGTTTATTTCTTCTCAATTTCATTATTCCCTCTTTCTCTTTAAATATAATCAATACCTAAACCATGAGCTATACAATCAGTGCTTTCCCTTTTATCAAACACTTTAACAGAAAATCCATTTTAACATAATCCCCTTTTTAGTTATTATACACAGTTCACAACACTTTTGCAAAAAAAATTAGCAAAAATTTAGAAACTGATTATTGTACCAACAACACTTTTAACAAACAGTTTACTAAACGCCAAACTGCTTTCTTTTATAACTGATTTTTCTCACAGCAAATCCGACTGCGATTATTTTCAGCATAACAATGTCAAACTGGCCTTTATAATTTTGTTATTTAGGACATTCTCCAATAAGTATTTAAGTTAATGACTGGTTACATACTTATAATTTCGGCAGTTGGATTCCATCTAAGAGAATATCAACACATTTAATGAATGCAATCTAATGCTCAATATTAGAAGTATATAAACAATCTATAACATAAAATAAAATACTTACTGGAGAATCTCCCAATAAAACTATAACTAAAAATTCAGTTGCAAAAAATGGAGAAATAAGCAACTGTTATTTCTGTACAGAACACATTCACACCAAAAATACCAAGAAGAACCCAAAAAAAGAAAAAAGAAAGAAACCATCATAAGAGTGTGCAGATAAAAGTTTTTCTGTTTTTTTTTTTCCTCTAACAATTCATAATTGTTATTTACCAAATAATGGAAGATTAAACATGGATGGGCTAATACTTGGATCAAAAACAGTCAAGGGTTGAAAAGCAAATCTCCACACTTGCATTTCCAGCTTATAGGCTTATAATTTGTAATGTCATCGCCTCTGGAGTAAGCTACATTCTTGGGGCTTGTTCTGGTGGAAGCAGGGAGGCTGCCATGGCTTCTGATTTTATTGTGGCCTTGGACTTGTGGGGAAACAGGGACCTGAACTGCCACACAATGCCCACAAGCACTGCACCTGCTCTCACACCTTGGTGGTCTTGATCCTATTTGACGTGCGTTGACCACCACCCCAGCTTCATTTTCCTCAAGAACATGACCTCTCTGAGTAAATATGATTATAAAAACTCAGTCAGGAATCAATTAACACTCTGGTATAGAGTTTACAGACTTCATACTCAACTGGTAGAAAGAAGCAAATTAGCAATAGCATGACATATAATAATGTCCGGACGTCAGCATAGGAGAATTTATTATGCAAATTAGCAATACCACATACATATATATATATAACACTACATATAATATGAAGTCTTACCGGAGCAGCCTTAGTAAGCTTGCTTGAAATTAGTCTAGCACCTGAAAGAAAAAGAAAAAAAGAAACAGAACCCATGTTAGTTTTGCTTTTTCTTTTGAACAAAGAGGGTTATATTAGTGAATGAATTTGAAGAATGGGGGAGGAGTTGTTAACCTTCAGCCATGAATCTCAGATGGGTCGAGCTTGAAACCAAGAGTAGGAAGATGGAAATGATTAGATGTCTATTTCTGTGCCAACAGGCGCAATTTTGAGTTCTGCCCATTTTTCAGAAGTGGGTGGAGAAGAAGAGAGCAAGTGGCCGCAACCACACCAAACCTAGATGAGAGCAGACAAGTCGTAGGGAGGTAAATAAAATTCAAAGTAAATATATGGTAGAGAGAGAGAGAGGGGTGATCAGGGTGGCAGTGTTTGCAGGAATGAAAATTTTCTGAAAAGTGTAAGAAGAGAGGTTTCAGAAATTGAATGCCAGCTTCATAATGCAGAAAGATGTATATGTATATGTATCAATGAGGGAACGTGGAGCGCAGAGGCAGAGTACAAAGGGAGAGCTCAAACGAAAAAGGGAAGGACCTCAGCCTCGTTTCATGAGCCTCCCAAAAACCAGGTAATTTGTACAATTATGATTTATGTTTAAAAATAAAAATAAAAACTTTTCTGAGTTGCATTGCATGCATAAACTTATTATAAAAAATAATAAAAAAGATTGACAGATACATACGGACAGAGCAACTGTTGGGAGAGGCCTCTCTCTCTCTCTCTCTGTGCATGTATGAGAAATACTTGGTTTTCGTTTTCTTTTCTTTGTGGAAATTTGGGGTGTTCCATTTTAACACGCTAGAGAGTGCTCTGTTTTTTCTTTTTCTCGTCTTGAAAACAGTACATGGGTTTTGTAGATCTCCCCAGAAAGATACTACTTTTGGGTGTGTTTAGAGGAAAAAGATTTTTTAGCACACCCAGCCAGAAGTTGCTAGACAAGTTATTTCTATATGGGGTAGGTTTGTGACTGTGTGACTGTGAGAGTGAGATAATTTTCTTCCATGAAATTCACACACCACTTGATTTATTATTTTTTTGGAAGGGAGATCAGATCAATAATGACAGACTCTTCAGAGCTTTTATCAGTGTGTGTGGTTGAATTGAATGAATCTGTGCCATTAGATTTGTACCTCGTGCGCAATAATGAGATTAGTTACTCATCAAGTTTCGAAGGTCCCTGTATAGAAAAAGAAGCATACGTAATCAAATGCCATCCATGCTTGTTTTTTAGCCAAATTTTGAGGGACACCAGTTTTGGAGATGAAATTCCAATCCAGATTTGGACCCTTTTATACTTGACAAGAACTGGTGGATATAAACCATCAATCAAAATTGTTGTCCCAAGGACCCATCAATGCATTTTACATTTACCACATAATTTCCTGAGCTGGGATTGTCTTGAGCGGACGACTCTTAGCCATTGAAGCGATACGTGCAAGCAGACGACTAAACTCGAGTGTGGATGGATGCTTGTAGCATTTTTCTAATTGTCTATTACATTACCAACATAAACGTACCTCGTGTGGAAAGAAACTTGCATGTCACGAAGTGTATAATTCACTCCCCTTGTTGGATATAAAATTTATTAACTTTGAGCAAACAACCGCAAATTATTAACAAAACTTTGAATGTATATGTCTAAAGCCTCATCTAAAGTTGTTGGTCCCTCGTTCAGCCAGCCATTTCCAACACAGGACCATTGCAGACTGAAAAAAAAAAAATACAGGACCATGAATTATGAATAGTGCTTACAAATTAACAACTGAAGTCTGAAGGTGTAGCCAAAGCTCAAAATATTTAAGTAACCCCGTGAAGAAGTCCCAGCTTCCAAAGCCTTTGAGAAACAGAGGGCTCTCTCTCTCTCTCTCTGCTTTGCCGTGTTGAGTGGTGACCACATTGATTCAGTTCTGACAAAAATTTATAAATCATCATCAGCTTAGCCTCTCATACTTCGAATTTATGATGCCCCATATCTTTGTGTTGCTGTTTACCCAATGTAAAAACTGTGTCCTGTGTCAATAGATTTACTGTTTTATTTTTTACTGATAATTTCAAATCAGTCTGACATCTCTCATCATCCAAAGCTCATTGCATCTTAATACATTCAACAAGATCAATAGCGCTTTCTACTTGTTTATGATAAATTAGTAGCGCTTAAAACATGCTTTTGTGTTTGGGTTTTTATCGCAAATCGTCCATGAGATTAGCAAAATTATCATCTCTGGTCATTTATGTATTTTTTTGACATTATTGATCATTTATGTTACACCTCACACACCAATTTGGACCTGCCATTTAGGTTATATCAAAATTGATGTTAAATTGATGATGTGGCAGGTATGTGACTTGGATCCTTAAAAATCAGAAAACTAAAATAAAGAAAATAAAAAATAAAATTTGTAACTCTCCCCCTCCTCCTTCCCCTTCCGTCTCTCTCTCTCTCTCAGGCCACCACCCCACTACCTACCTAGACCATCCCCAAGCCCAGTGCCACCATACAAGTTACAACCACCCTCATCCCTACCCGAGATCCACACCAGCCCCTGCCCAAGTCCCAGCAACACCCGAGAAGGGACGAAATTAACCAAAATGAGAGAGAGAGTGGGTTGCCACGGGGGCAAGGCGTTGGCAGAGGGAGACCACAGAGGGGGGATGGTTGCAGGTATTTTTCTTTTTCTTGTAGTTTTAATCTTTTTTTTTAATAAAAAAAAGACTTCATTTTCTTTTTATAAAGGATTTTAAGTTTTAAAATATATCATTATTTTATTTAAAGTCAAATAGCATTATCTCATTGGATATGTGGACACTATATACATTCCACGACAGCAATTTAACAGAAATTTTGACGAAATCTAATGACATGACCAAATTGATGTGTGAAGTGATGTCAAAAAAAATAAAAATAAAGAACTAAAGGTGATAATTTCGCCAATCTCAAAGACTATTTGTGATGAAAAAAAAACCCATTTGCGTTTTAATACATGACCGACATTAACAGAATAAAATTGCTTGTAATCTCACTACCAGCCCTAGGAAGGCCACATCACCTCCCTCTCTCTCTCTTCCAGAAAAATGCGTGTTGAACCGGCGGGATTTTATGTATGCTATGCTCTCCGTCAGTGTCCTTTCATATCTGAAGGCTTAAATTTCTCAGTTTGTGAGGTCATCTGAGGCTGAAATGTTCATAAAACTCCCTCAAAGCTCGGCCCTGAATCTCGATCGCTTCTCTTTCCCGAGCGAAAACTAATGCAGGGCATGCAATGTCACTGGCTTTGAGGTAATAACAAAATTGGCACGTCACACAACAAAGTTGTCAACCATGTGTTGGATCACATCAGCCCCATCAGAATGTAGATAATAGGTTTTCACCTGACCCACCCAAAAAAAACATTTAACTATGTCACACGGCTGCTTCTTAATCTAGCTTGCAGATGGACCAGCATGCATTGTGAAACCGATAAGGAAAAAAAACGTTTTGCAATGACATTAAACGAAATGTGTTAAACAGTTAATCATGATGAGTTTCAAGGAAAAGCAGGGCTTGCCTGAATGGTACTGTGCGCAAGGTATCTTTGCTTACTTCCTTTGAAGCTCACATCAACCCGTTCCCAGCTCATTTTGGTCAAGCTTCTGATCATTTCCTCTACAATCGTGTTGAGAAATAAGTGAATAAAATACCAATAGGCTAAGAATTACTACATTGAGACGAGCTCAGACTACGGCAATCATGGGGTTGACATTATAAAAGTGAGTATCAGATGAAAGCAAAACTATCCATATCGGATGTATCCCACTACAGAACTTAGTCTCCCTCTAATTAATATATTGTCATCATAATCACCCTATAACTACTAATTAGCTAGTTTTTTATTCACACAAAATTTTCTCAGATTTTAGTTGCATCATTTATAGAACTTTAGTTTTCATGGTACTACGCAAATCTTAGAAATAAGACAACAGCTAGAGGCCATCAGAGAATTCCTGCAGCTACCATCTTATAGACTTAGCGTCCCCTGATAAAGAAGAAACTTCATATTAAATTTCATTTTCGGTGCCTGACTAAAAGGCATTGGCAGTCTCGTTCAACTAAAAGGACTTATGTTCTAAGACTGGCTCTATGATTTAGGAACAGCTGATGCACTGCATTAAGTTTTTCTGTTGAACACATTTCATACCCAGAAAGCCTCCCCTCCTGTAATCTATGCACCTCCAGTTCTGTAACCATACATTCTGGAGTAATGAATTCCTAAAAGTGTCCAGCAGCCTAGTTGCATAACCCTTATGATTTAAAGGGAAAATATGTAAATGAAAGCAGAATTCGCAACGGTTTTCTTCCAATCTACCCATATATCCCATCATGGGAACATGGAACCTTATCAATAAAATGTCTCCATGCTAAAGCTGCAAAAGCTTCAGAAAGCAATGAGCCACTGATAATAAGTCATTAGTAAAACAAGATAAACAACTAGCAAACCTTCCAAGTCAATATGCTTGCATCCACTGGCTTTCGCTTCGAAAGATACTTCTTCTTGAGTACTGGCAGTTTTTATTGTCTCCAAATTCACAATATGTGGATATTTGTCATCTTTGGATAAATGTTTAAGCTGATAGAAAAGTTCATGGTAAGATTAATTCCAGACAATTAAAGCATCCATGAGTAGCTACAGAATTACCTTTGGCAGCTCCTTCCTACGCCGTAGAGATGATGTACTCCATCCGACAAGGTCTATAAGAGTTGTCAAGTGCTTCACATAAATTATGGAAACAGTAATAAAAGAAGTTTGTGGCAGTGTCAACTTGAAAGATTGACCCGCTCAAACTTTAATCTACTTTGAAGACCAGATGTGAACGCCAAATTAACTGATCCCAACATGTTTGCTTGAACAATGAGGATAATATTTAAATAATAAAAAATACATACCATAAATTTAAAGGATACGGTCATAGAGAACATTTGCATAGGCAACACGTCGCCTGAAGGACTGCAATGCAGATCTGCAGAGACGAGATATGATGGCAAATCCTTGAATCATCAACTACAGTAGCCGACAATATGTTACAAAAACAAATGTAACTAACAACTAGGACTCACAAGAAATTAAGATCTTCAGTATCATTGACCATCTGAATAAGAAGGGGAGGTTTTCCGTTATCCCTATCAGTTAAAAACAGATGTCTTCCACTTCTACCTAGACACCATGAGGTACGAGCTGCTACTTTTTCCAGGGGTTGAAAGCCACAAAACACTGGAACCTGAAAAATGAAAACCAGCAGATAATCAAGAACTCAGAAGAATATGAAACCTCATTTGTAGGCAGAGCAGGCAGACATTCACTTGTCACTAATTTTCCAAATCATGACTTGCAACTTTTGTAGACACCCATAACCAACAATGATAAGGTTCCAAGAGTCTCTCC